TGCTATAATGACCCCACCCACGTTGAGGTGGTGCTCAACTGTAATGGAAAATGATCGAATGTAATGGAAAGCATCTCACATCATTGCCGTTTGCAGGCATTTGATTATGCACAGCTCTCTTAAGGTCCCACCATAGCATTTCAATAAGGTTACTGCCTGGACTGGACCATTGTGGCACATAGATTCTTTTCTGTTGTAGATTTGCTGGTGTCCTGTTGCATGACCCCATTCAGTTGTCAGACAGATGTCCTCATATTTGACTCTAGAATGCTTTGGTATACAGACTGCAAGGCCCCCAGGTCCTGTAGCTGCAAGAAAAAAACTCCTGAATCATCACCCCCTCAATCACTATGGCTACATGGCTGCCAGTTGATCTGAGGTGTGTGTGTGCTGATACCCTGTGTTTGTGGCTCTGTGTATTATGGCTAAACATCTCTACTTTGGTCTCATTTGTCCAAAGGACATTTTTTCAGCAGTCTTATGGTTTCTTCAGATGAGAGGGAGAAGACACTCTTCTCCCGGCAGCCCTGGAGGCCTGTAAATTCTGAAATGTAGCTCTTGGGTTTTTTGCTGCTTCTCTGAACACTGCATAGTCTAACCCAAGGGTGAATTTGCAGGGATGTCCACAAGATTGTTAACACAAACTTGAATGCTCCACACCAACAAACACAGAGGTGCTTACTGATAATCAGTTAATTGAGTGCACTTGATTGGTAGGGCCCTGCTGCGACTTCTTAATTCATATGGAAGCAACGGGGACAACAAGGGCAACAGGTAAGTAGATTATTAGTAGTTACAGTTATGTTGTTACTGTAACTGTTCTAATGTGTGAAATGCCTGCCAGAGAAATTCAATTTGTGACAGTGATTGGCTGTAGAGTGTTGTGCCCCTAAGGAACTGATGATCACATGTTTGGGGATCTTCAGTGCAGCCACAGGACTGAGGGTGCGATGGGTGCCACTGGGTAAGGAAAGACGGAGGAAGCAGGGTAGAGAAATGGAGGCCGGTGGCTGTGCATATTATGCCTCATTGCTCTCTATTTCCCAACAGCGTTGGCTGATGCATGACATTCTTTTTTCTTTCAGGTTGCATTTTAAATGAATGACCTCTCCCTAATGCACATTCATTGGCGAGACACAGTGTGGGCATCGTAGACAATGCTGCTGCTATTCTATTTTTACAAAACAAAAGACCTGAAGTATCAACTTGTCATGTGCATACTGGTAAATATTCGGCTAAAACTGCGTGTGTAGGTGTGACTGTATGTGTGGGCAGCGGGCCACCTTGCTTATCTCTACCAAGGCCCTAGCACCTCTGGTGTCTGCCTGGCTGAGGCAGCCCCAACCCAAAAGCAAGTGGGAGGTGTTATTCAACAAATCAAACAACACCCCCCCACCCCGTCTAACACCTTCCTTTTTCCATTACCATAACTATAAAGCAGGGTCTTTATAATGCTTCTGGTTGAAATCATCACATTAGGCTTGATAGTATCCATCCTTCTGCTTGACTGGACTAGTGCCAGTCTAACAAAAGGGGACATGAGGAAACACAGACAAGGTTAAAAAATGCAGATGGGCCACAGTGTCTGACTGTTTCATGGGTTGCCTGGATAAGATTGCCCTCACACGCAGACGGGAACTCAATCTCTGCTTTCAAGGAGATCTTTTCAACTAAAAGGGTCAAAAGATTTGAAGCGCTATGAAATACGGTGAAGTCTCGTCTCTGTACTATCAAATCTGTCCCTACCTTATCAGTGGCAAAGCAGAGTAACAACAACTACTTAAAATGCTGTAGGTAAGAAAGGGAACAGGAGACATCGGCTGTCAAGATGAAATGTAAAATACTGAGTCCTGGCATCCAAAACAGGGAATACATAATAAGGGAAGATGATAGACTTTAAGTCCATTGGCTGAATAATAACAGTAATAGACAATAAGAGGAATAGAATAAAAGAATTATTGCTGCTGTATTTCAAAAATACTGAGCTAGTTTAGACATTGTTTTTTTTCTCATTGTTTTGATATGCCTGCTTTAGAATTCCAGCTACAGTATTAAAATATGATCCACAGGTCATGCATGTGTGTACATTTATGATCTGTTTATCAAACGAACACTTGCCTTTGCACTGGCAAACCATGCCATATGTATATGTATTTCTTGCCCAGCACTGAAGTGTTTATGGATAAAAATACCCATTTTATTTTTAAAGGAAATGTCATGTCCCTGTATGCATGTATAAAATTTGATGCACTGTCATATATAAGCCATTTCATACACAGTCAGAACCTTTTAACTGTATTACGCACATTACTCAGTTTCCTACATGAACCACACTGCAGTGCCTGTTGCAAAACATCAGTGTACAAAACTATAAACTATACTTGTGTGTCTCATGTGAGAGGTGCTATCTTTGTAAATATTCTAAAGCCCAAAGTTACCAGGCTGCTACCATAAAAGCAAACATGACAACAGACAGATTCTCAAAACTTTTGCTGCTTGTGTGATGATGTTTGCCTTTGAATCCTTTCTGCCTCACATATAACCAAGATTTGTACCTGGGAGATCACCCACACCTTTTTAATGCTGGTGACGGCTTGGCCCCACTGGGCATTTGGAGATGGAGCTGATGGATGGGAGGGTACAGTGGGCTATCAATTTGCTTGAATAAACGTCCCCCCAGCAAGTCTTGAATTTGAAACAGTGTTTTTGTTTTTCCCTGCTTTACCAAACATTTGGCCAGGGGTTCTTTATCGGGCAGACATAAGTAGACAAATTTTATGAATTTCAAATTCATTTTAATATTCAGACATTTTTTCCAAAGATAAAATGTGCTGGGGTGACAGTTTTGATTATAGGATTTATGGCTATCCAAACTTTTTGAACAGGTTTTAAAATGAGACTCTGGAGAGTAACAGTGAACTTTAATATGATTGGTCAGCAGACAGAAAAGGACAAGAGTCAGTGTTCTGCATTTTCCCATTTCTGACAAATAGATTAAAAAAGACCGCTTACGCTGTAGAAAATTAAGAGCCATATAACAAGACTGGTTATAAAAGAAACTTATGCTAAAACCTCTTTATGGGGTTTTAAAAATTCCTCTTTGCAGGAACAAACAGTTGCTGCAAGTCAGATATTAGAGATCTGAGGCCTAATGCTTTCAAATTTGGTAATCCTTCAGATGAAGCATCAAAAAGCTCTGCTATAACATCTTCAGCCCCTGAATAATAGATATAGAACATAGCTCAAATGCACCAGAAGCTGTGTTATCCATTCATTAACAGGCCATATTCAATGCTGCTAAAAGCTTTTCATCACTTACATTTGATTACTGACCCTTTATATTCTTTGTAATCCCTGTAAATGTCCTTAATCTATTAGGAACTATATGAAATGATGTACCCAGGCATACACTGAATTGGTCTTGGACCCTGATTCTGTTTGATTTTTAGTTCACTTTCATACTTCACACTTGAACATGATTTTGTATTCTGAGTCTTAAGCTCTTAGTTTCAGCTTCGGTTTTTTCTTATAGTTTTTGTCGACCATGTGTTGTCTCTAGCTTTACTTCTTGTCTTTTACCTTAATTGTGTTCAGCTATGGTTAGTTTCACTCCTGTTTCAATTCCCTTGGTACCTCGTGTGTATTTACAGTATAGCTTCAGTTTGCATATTGTGCATCTGTTCTGTCATTCCTAGTGTTCCCTATGTGATCTCCCTACTTCATTCCTGGAATTCCAAGTGTTTGAGTTTATCCTTTGGATTTGAGACTGTTTTTCCTCAGTTTTTGGATTCATTTCTTTTGATTTTTTTTTATTTTTTTTTATTTAATCAGAGTCAATAATAGCTCTGCTACTTCCACATACTCCCAGCCTATGTTCGGTGTAACGTGCTACTGTAATCCACAACATTTTTCAGTAGTTCAGTAATGTAACACATTACTGTTGTAAATTTAGCGATAAATACAGTAGTTACAGTTATTATTGTTGTTACGTGCGTTGTAACGGTGCTTCAGTTATCTGCAAGGTGGGCAGATAGAAAAAACAGATAGACAGATAAAAAAATCTAGCTTTGTTTCCCCCCTAAATTTTGCTTCTTTTCTTCCTCAGCACTTGAGTTAATCACTTGATTTCCGTTCCTATGCAGGGAGAAGGAAAATAACAAGTGGTCTACAGCTTTTGAGGAGTGGAGATATGGTCATTACGTTTATTTTTACTGCACAAAATACCGTGATGGTGAAATCCAAACTGCACCCAAGGCAAACACCTACATAACACCGCTAACAGAACTTCGGCTGGTTTTCAACTTTGCTTTGAGTTCTCGGTTTTGTATTCGTCCACAAAGAAAGATCACGTTTAGCCTCAGGTTTATATTGTTAACTGGTAATTTTGTAACAGTTACATTTCAGATTTTTTTTTTTAATTGATCCATATGACATTAGTATTGGCATATATATAGCCATGTTTCTAAAACTAATAATAAAAAGAGCAGCAGCTAAGCTGACTTTAAAGGTGACATCTGTGGTTACCTAAATTTATTTCCCACAAAAATATGATTCACCTTCAAAGAGGCACGCTTAGTATTTACTTTTGTCCTCTGGAAACTCAACCTTTTGCAAGTAGGATAATGGAGAGTGTTTGCTCCAAGAGATGTCAGCTGAACAAGCGTTATCACAGCTCCCTGCTGCACAATCCAGCTTCAGTTGCCTTACTGCTATAAAGACAACTGAAACATTTGCCCAAAGTACTGCTCTACTGGGAACAGGACTGTGCCGGAGCGCTTTGTGTTCAGCAATAACATTTATATTATAGCCAGTGTATATCTAAAGAGCAAATCTGTGTGGGTCACTAAAGAAATAATAAGAAAACTGTGTATAAATCTTTTTAACCAATCTCACGAACATTTTACCACCGCTAGGAAGTGCTAGTGTTAGCTGAACCTAAACCTATTTAATCTAAAGAAAGATAATTTCAGCATCAGATCTGTGTGATGGAGGTACTTTACCTGCCTCAGGCCGTCCTTGCTGTTCTGCATGATCCTCAGGGCATAGTTAGACCGCTGTCCTTTGCTGTTGAATTCAATGTGCCCTGTTAGACCTTCCAATTCTACCTATCCAACAAAGAGACGGCACACATGTTAAAAGATATCCCGTCTGCTTCCCTCTCGGCGGTACCTATTGTGAATATGACTTGAGGTTACTTTACTGCTGCTGTCTCTGTATGAGCCGCCTGAGCACTATTTGTCATATTTAAAATAAGAATATGGAGACAAGCTGGTAACAGCTTCAATTTAGGGCAAAAAAGAAGAGTGATTAGTTGTGTCCTCTTTCTCAGAGTGAGAAAGACAAATGGTCTGATATCGAACACGTGTCACATTTAAGTATTTCAGTCACTTACAGTCATTTCGCCCTAACAGGAAAACACATTTTATTCCCTGACAGCACATCTTTATCTCTCCTCCTCCACTGTGTCTCAGTATAATGTAGAGATGAGATAAACTGACCTAGTCGATAGGAAGCATATCGTTAAAGAAGAAGACAGCACGGACATTATCTGCTGTCGGTAAAAATATCTAGACTTTAAAATATCCAATTAGCACGCAAAGAAAGATAGAAGAAAAGCAGTAATGAAGAGCTCAACAAGTATTATCGGACAAGCTACTTTTTGGGGACAGCCTCAGTGACTTCCAGGAGTTTCTGATGCTTGTCAAGAGTTGACAAAACAAAATTTGTGAGCTTTAGAGTTTTGGCAGTACTTCTCAATGTATTACAAAACTGTCATATGTTTACTGACAGCAGATAAAAGTGAATATTAGAGGTGCTGGTACATGAATTTTGTTAAATTATTGGTCAGAGCCACATAGCTGACTGATGACCGTACCAATGCCCTTTCATAACTCTAGGAAAGAAAAAAATCCAGATTTTTCCAAAATTTTCAAGCATTCCTTGAAACTAAGCTTGGACAGTCTTGTAATCTCAATCATTCTCCAGCAGAAGCAGCCTTACCATCCTCAGGTAATTCATGAGGCTGGTGCCGTGCTCCCAGATCTTGGAGGACTTGCAGGAGAGCTGAGTGGCTCCGACGTTCTGGCTACGGTTCAACTCCTGGACCGCCGCCACCACAGCGTATACCGCATCAAAGAGCAAAGCTGACGAGAGCTGCAGAGGCAGAGGGAAGGAGGCAGGTGAATGTATTATGCATACTCACACACACACACACACACACACACACACACACACACACACACACACACACACACACACACACACACACACACACACACACACACACACACACAAAGCTGCAAAAACCCAAAGCACACAAACTACAAGCGTAACATATCAGCGGTTAGTGGTTAGCGAGGGGTTAACCCATCCCTCGTGTGGCAACAAGATTATTCCATTAGATCATTAGAAAGACTCTGATCTGCTGACAGCGTTGAAAATCATCTCTCTCTCCCTCCATCTCTCGGAGAGACTCTGTCCTTCCTGCTCTTATCCCCAATGAAGCTGGCACACCCTGACCATTCCAATTACTGCCTGCCTCTCTCAGTCTGGGCCAAAAAACAGTGGGAGAAGCAGCTTTTCCTCTCATCTCCTCTGTACAAACAGCCTCAAACTCACCGCAACAGCATCCTGCTATGTACGTTTTATTAAAATGCACGCTGCTTTGCATTAGATTCTCAGTAAAATCCCAAGCCTCAGTGCTGTACATCTGTGTAATGGAACTACAGATTAAACTGATGCTGATAGAAGGCTGAGGGGGATGGTGCTGCGCAGTAAATCTGGGAGGCCAAACAGAACTAAACAGCCATTAAACAGCACAACTCTGATGCATTACACAGCCTTGAATTGACAAATGCTTTTGGCGAATTAAAGGCACCGTTCACCCCAGGATTGCCTCCTACATTTTACATCTTTCAAAAAATAAAATTAAATAAAAATTAAACAATGCACAAACATTTTCTTGTGAGTTGTTTCACAATTATATTACTTTTACTATCTACACCTATCCTCCCACCCTCCAAAAAACTAAAAAGCTAACACTGCAGATCACCTGATGGGGATGTAATTAATGTATCAATGATCATCTTGTCATGCTGTTACAAGCACCATCATCTGTAGAGTGATATGATTGGATGGTGTGGTTCAGCAGCTTCAGGCCAAATATAAAGAATTAAAGTTGAGTTTGCGGTGAGCTGGCTCTTTGAGACTGTGAGGATATTACAGCTGCAGGTTTATGCTGTTTAAGTTCGACTTATCTTTGTGGTGGGAACCAAGGCCAGGCTGCTAACTCAACATGACAATGTGAATGTATTACACTCGTATCTATAAATATCTTCAATTTTGTGAGCCTTTACTTTACAGGAGAAGACTTTAGTGCTGTAATTGTGTACAGAAGACAATATTGTTGCTACACATACTCATGTTTCCTCAGTTCGTCTCCATTTATATTGTTGTACAAGGAACTGTACTGTGAATTTGATGTAAAGCTAATAATATGTTGGCATTTACCCATCTGTGTATCTATGAGGCGCCGTTTGTAAAGTGAAACATGCTGAAATTAACGGCAACATTTTTCCACATTTAGTGCGAAACCTTACAAAAACGTGTTTTCAAGTCATTTTTAAAAAAATATTTAGTAAATTTGTAACTTTTCATATTTAAAACACAATCTTAAATATTAAATCTAAAAATTATATTTAAATCTAAATGTTAAATCTAAATGTTACAGGAAACTAAATATTTAGTCAACATTTCATAAAGCTTTTATTTTGGTATTTTCGTTGATCCGTACATGTTAGCTAAATATTTAGTTTCGTGTAACATTTAGATTTAACATTTAACATTTAGATTTAAATATAATATTTAGATTTAACATTTAGATTTAACATTTATAATTGTGTTTTAAATATGAAAAGTTACAAATATTTTACTAAATGTTGTAAAAAATGACTCGAAAAAACATGTTTTTGTAAGGTTTTGAGCTAGATGTGGAAAAATGTTGCTGTTAAATTCAACATGTTTCACTTTACAAACAGCGCCCATGTATCAATCTTGTTTCTCTCACTTTTTTTTACCACATCTTTCTTTTCTCTTTATTCTTTAAGAGTAACTTTAATCAGCAGGCTATAATTACATGAGCTGAACAACAGAACATATCAGCAGCTTCTGAAATCTGTGCTTTTTTTAATGTCTTAGCCAATAACACACAGAATTATTGCATTTCCACGCTTTGAAGGCAGCTGTCATGAATTTTTTCCTTTTTTTTGTAATTTCCCAATGCAAATGATGACTTCAGACCTAAAGGAACAAACTTGGTCTTGATTTCTAAACCTGTAAATATTGAAGTGGGGTTTTATGGTCTACCTCAGTACCTAACAGTCCAACTCATGAATGCTGTTTTGACAGTTTGGACCTGTAGGCTTCTTCTAGTTATACTCTGTTTGTATATAAATGAGCTGCACTCTCTAATGAAAAATTCTATGTGCGGTTACTTTAATCAATACTGATGTGAGACTATAAATATCAATTGCGAGATGTTTGAATGCAGCACAATTTGTCTCCCATGAAACCTTCTTCTCTTATAAACTTTCAACCTATCTGCCTACATTTCCTCAGATGATGTGGTGCAAGCCTTTATCTTTAAATGCATCAGTGCAATCTAACACACATATAGGTCAGCGGCTGCATTTGTTGTTTATAAGAGAACGTTTAAAAAGACAGCATATTACGCATGTGCATGTTTAAATGGGTTAATCATGTTCTTGCTCCCATCAGCCTTTAGTCTCTCTGGTTATTAGCTAATTAGCCACAAGTCCTAATTGCTGCAAGCTTAGTGAGTGACCCACTGCACACAGAAGCATTTTTAATGCTAGTTCAAACTGTTCTTAACCTATTTCACCATCCAATTTGTGTGAAGCAAAAACGGGGTGATGAGTGTTTGTTTCATTTTTTAATGTCTCTTCACTTCAAACAGAGGGGATTCATTCATTAATCTGACTTTACTGAATATCTGGCTCCTAATGAAGCCCCCGAGCAAACATAAATCTGCAGTAGTGGCAGTCTTTTTGCACTCAGGTGGGTTATTTTTATTAAAAAAAAAACATTTATAAGGATGAAAACAAACCTGCATTACAGCTTTTCTCAATATTGAGAATATATTGAATTCAGATATATAAATTACATCACTTTTTAATATTGTCTTTAAGGGTTTTTTTTGTTTAAGATGTAAAAATACATAAAATTATTTAATTCAGTTAAACTTTATTTACATAATCCCAATTAACAACAACTGTTACCTCAAGGGGCTTTATGATTTAGGCTACAAAACCCTACAATGTTAAACCAAGCAAAAAGAACAACAATCAGGTAACCCTGTATGAGCAAGCAGTTAGCAACAGTGGGAAGAAAAAACTCCCCTTTAACAGGAAGAAACCTCTTTGTTTTACTTCAAAGCTAATAAATGATGAAAATCAAAACTTTGATTTGTTATATCAACAGTGTAATGTGACGTATATTCATCTTTTGCCGGTAAAAAATTCTGCATTAAGCTTTTGGTTTTTTTTTTACTATTATCCAAGAGCAGAAGTGTAGTCTAATAGCTGGTGCACTTGTACTACTTACTCTGAGAAGTTGCTTTTAATGAGAGACACTATTGAGCAAATGTGGGAGAGTGTCTAGCTTTAAGAGGGATTACTGGGTAGTCAGAGAATAGTCATAAATTTTAGTCTCATAAACAGGCGCTAAACCACAAACAGATAGCGCTCATGTTTGTGCAGGGCATTTACAACACTGTATTTAGTGAGTCTGATGTAAAGAAAACTCGATAAGCCATGTCGTAAAATATGTCAGAGTGTAGTAATAATAATAATAGTACGACATGTTCAAGCATGTGCTTCGCTATTTTGTGACCCTGCTGAGCCGGCATGAGATTTAAACAAGTCTGCAATCACCTTCAGTTTACACGTACGCAACAAGGCTTTTTTTGTAGTCACTCATTCACACAGGTAGTGCACACTATTTTAAATGTTGAGCTACAGAGACCATTTAGATGAGAACAGTGGCTGATTTAAGGGGGGATGCTGTGAAGGTAAGTAGCTTTTCCTGTGTGCATTTCTTCTGAAGAAAATTCAACAAGGAAGATGCCATTCTAAAGGTAATAAGGAGGGCGCCAAATGCTGCTAATGAGCTGTCTGGGAAACAACAATGGCCTACAGCAACACCTGAAATTACAGCACTTACCTGAGTAAATGCTATCCCTGTATATTTCTCCTAGTATTTTGGAGGTTTCTGCGACTTCAGTGTTTTAATTGGTAAGTTTGTGATAGAGAAGTATGCCGGAACAACTAATTATCTTTTAATTTGGACTGAATTATTCTTCCTGTAACTTCGGTCTTCACTGTAAATAACGTCATGTATTTGTGTTGTGTGAACTAACCGGTGTGCCGGCGAAGGGTGCGTGGTCACAGTTCTCTTGCCAGGAGCGGTTGAGGCTTAGCGCAAAATCCTGGAAGAAGGGATGAGTTTTGTTGAAGACGGAAAAACCAACTATGTTGACTCGCTGGTCCGCCACGTCGTCCAGTCGGAGTAAAGAGAATTCCTATAGGGAGAAAAGAGAGTAAGGCACAAGATTATGGGCTCCGCTTAGCCATGAGCTGTCATACCCTGCTACAGTCTACCATAATCTGTTTAAATTACACCAATGATATATTGAATTATTGTCAAGGTAAAAAAGGGCATCTGTTCACTCAGCAATTTTACATCCGATTTAATCTGTCCGATTCACATTTCATTAACTACAATTATTCCGGTTGATTGACATGAGAAAGCTGCAGCAATTTGTTCAGAGCCACAATTTTACCGAGCAGCGCTGCACAACACCCATGGATTTTTTCTCCCACTGGCTGTAAAAATGTACAGGTATGACTGCCAGACTGCAAAGCTAATGGGTTACAATTAGAGAGACAGACAGACAGAGAAAGACTCGGGGAAAACAACAAAGGTCACAGAGACCAATAATTGAGATAGAAATCCTTGACATATTGAAATCATCCAGGTTGGGAGGAGAGGAAAACACAAGTCGTTTGTTATTTGGCTCTTTTGCTCCAGGGACAAGTTGTTTTCCGGCTGCCTGGGGAATACGAGACAGGGGGCAGGGTGAGACGGAGCTGAGGAAGAACAGGGGGGAGAGAGAAGGTGGGGGCGTGACTGAGGATGGATGTCTCCTGAAGGTTAATAGAGGTGTCAAAACCCAGTACCCCACCTCAGGTGGCAGCCTTCACCTTCCAGCCCTTTGTGCCATCTAACTTGTGACAGCCAGACCAAGCCCAGTCTACCTCTGTGCCTGCCACCAAGACAAGTGTGAAGATAAGAGAAGTTTGAGGGGATGGTGAGTGGGTGCGGCAGCATGTGACACTGGGAACAAATGGCCATATGGTGTCTGTAGAAATAGTAAATACACTGCAAGTAAATAGAAATAAAAGAGCAAAATATGTATGTAAATGCAAGAAGGCAACAGCAGTGGGCAAACAACTACGTGCCAATCAAAAATAATGATAAAAGCTGCTAACTATATCCCTTGAGGCAACCTCCTGCTATGTAGTAACTCAGCTCATGTGTGGCATCAGGATTTGGTAAAAATCTTCTTAAAAAAACAAACAAGCATAAATAAACAAATAAATGAAAAAACAAAAAGCTTTATGGGCTCCGGGGAGATCAAAGCTTACAAATTCTGAAGCGCAGAATAACAGCAAAATGAAAAATGGTAAAATGGATGAGAGGGGATTAGGAAAATCAGATAATGGACATTCAGACAAAAAAAGAGTGAATAGGCCAGTGAATTAAATAACTGATAAGAAGGTAGGTGGAAAAAAGCTCTTAGACCAAGAGAAGAACCAGCATGAATCACTCCACTCTGAAGACACTGGTGGTTGACTGCAATGACAGAGACACACTTCAGGGAAGGAAGATGGAGTATATTTAACCTTTAAGTGGAAGGCTGATTATTCCTATTACCAACCTTCCATGAACCAGGAAATCCCAAATGTTTTGTTATGCTGGTGTACGGAAGAGGCGGATGATAAAAACAAGCAACACTGATAAACACTGATAATAAAAGTGAGAGCTTAACTCTTTAGAGGGTGAACCATGAATAACAATGTTCTGAAACATCTTTATTTCTACCTCCTGACAAATAAAACTCATTACATGTACGTCATCTTACATTTTTTTCATTTCTACAGCTGGAGAAAAAAAATCATCAGACTGATGATGTTAAAGTTCAGTCTCGGGCAGCAGAAATCATAACTGTGAGCAACAGCTTCCATAAAGTTTAACTGTAGTAGGGAATCATTCTCGTTAGGAATATGATAAGATGGTTTATCAGGTATATACCGATCAGCTGCTCATTAACACAAATAGCTATCAACCAATCACATGGCAGGAATTCAGTGCATTTACATATATGTAGACCAGGTCAGGATGACCTGCAGAAGTTAAAAATAAGGATCAAAATGGGGGAAGATGGGTCATTTAAGTGACTTTGAATGTTGCTGGTGCCAGACAAGCTGGTATTTCAGAAAGTGCTGGGATTTTCCAACATAATCATGTTCAGGGTTTGCAAAGTAAGGCCAGAGAAAGAGGAAATATCCTGTGGTGGAAACTCACTGGGTGAAAGTGGTTGATTCCAGAGGCCAGCTGAAAGGAAGGTAACTAAAATAGTGACTCCTTAGAATCACAGTATGCAGAAGAGCATCTCTGAACATACAACACATCAAACCTGGCAGCAGATGGGATACAGCAGCAGAAGACCACATAGGGTGGTAATGGCCTGTATTTGTATAGCGCTTTTACTAGTCCCTAAGGACCCCAAAGCGCTTTACACAACCAGTCATCCACCCATTCACACACTGGTGATGGCAAGCTACATTGCAGCCACAGCCACCCTGGGGCGCACTGACAGAGGCGAGGCTGCTGGACACTGGCGCCACCGGGCCCTCTGACCACCACCAGTAGGCAACGGGTGAAGTGTCTTGCCCAAGGACACAACGACCGAGACTGTCGGAGCCGGGGCTCGAACCGGCAGCCTTCCGATTACAAGGCGAACTCCCAACTCGATCGCCTTTGTGCCACAACAGTTTACATGGACTCACTAAAACTGGACAACAGAAGCTTCGAAAAACGTTGCCTGGCCTGATGGAAGAATCAGCATTTGAATTCTGATGGCTGCTTCCTGCAAAAAAACATGACTTTAAAAAGCTCAGATCATCTCAAACGATTTTCTCGAACATGAAAATAAGCTCACTTTACTGAAACGGCCTCCACAGTCACCTGATCTAACAGAGCACCTTTTGGATGAACAGAACCTGGAAATTCATGGATGTGCAGCTGACAAATGTGGAGCAGTCGTGTGCTGCTGCCACATCGATATGGACCAAAACCTTTGACGAATGTTTTCAGCACCTTGTTGAATCTATACCATGAAAGTGGATGGATATGGACTATAACAATATTTAGAGAGTTTGACTTCTCCTTCAAGAAATACAGCTTTTTCAAATGTTTGTTTACAAAACTACACAGTGAAATAACATAAGCAGAGGAGATAGCAGGGTGTTGTTTGGCTGTTGTGTGCGGTGAAGTGTTTGTTGAATGCTTTTGTTAACACACTAACTGAAGACAGCTCCTGCAGTTTGTGTTTACAGTCCTGCATTTCCATCACTATGCAAGCACACTTTATTTGCTTAATTCCACCCTGACTGGATTGTTATTCATCCTGGCCCAGTATGACTTTCAAGTTGCAGAGCGTGAAACACATTTAAAATCGCCTTATTAGAGGATGTAGCACTGAAGTTTAAGGGGCTTCTAGCTGCTCTTGAACTTCAGGAGACAATCCTGTTAATGAGTAGAATAATGGTCTAATGGTCTTGTTAGGAAAGAGACTGCCTGATCTTTAGTATCTATTGAATTTCAAAACATTTAACTCAGAGAAATTATCAGCCTGGCTCTCATAAGTTTGCGTTTGACTTTTGAATACATACAATGTAAAATGGTCATACTGTAAAAGTGGATTTAATTGCAAGGCTGGAACTAAATATACAGTCCTGCAAGTCCAGGGGAAGAAGAGGAGAGCTAAGACAGGGATTACATGTTCCTCCGCAAAGCCTGAGGAATACTTAATCCCTGTCTCAAGTTTAACATTGCATGTAATCATGGCAGGAGAAAAGTCTCCTTTGAACCTATTCTTTATTTATTCATTCATTAATATCTTTAGAAAAGTAAAACAAAATTTAAAGCCGCAGCATTATCGATTCCCATGCATTCCATTAAATACATGGGCTTTTCTTCCATCTTCAGCAGGCCCTTTTGGGGCCTCATAAGCCTTTGGGGACTGTCCATATAATTACTGGTTAAGTGTACTTTAATAGATCATTAGAGTCAGAGCTGTGCAAACGAGCCTATCATTAAACATGCCCCTCAAGGGTTCCTGATTGCATGCATGTGCATACACACGCACAAAAACAAACTGGAGAGCGCATGAGCATGCCCACACACAGGAAAATGAAATCCCTATAATTGAGCAGCAAACACACACGTAGTCACTGAAGACCAAGGTCACAAAAATATCCCGAGGCAGTGTCTGAAGAAAACTGGTGTGCAGCATTTGTGGGCTTTCAGGGCACAGACGCTGACACTTTGCACATGCAAATTCAAACACACAGACAGACGGGGAGTTGTGATCCCATGACTTCAGAGGACATTACACAGGCTTGCCTAACGTAACCCCGAGCCGTTATTGAGTTATATTATGGGTTTTCTCCCCATAACACATGTTTTTGGATACGTGTTACGGGGACGCACAAGCACACACTAAAGCCCTGCACGCGAGCACATCTTGCATGGCAAATAGTTGGTGTGAAATGGGCAGTGCTTAGCATTTGGTTCCCAGCAGTGGGAGAACAAAAAAGGCAGAGCTGGAGGGTAGAGGAGAGCAGTAGAGAAACCAACTGTCACCACCGAGGGGGTGAAAAGGCCGGCCGAACAGAATGATGATGAGGAGCAAAGAGAGAGAGAAAAAGAGCGAGAGAGCTAGAGGTTGAATCAATGGAGAGGGAAGAAGGTGAGAGATTAGTTGGCACAAGTGAGAGCTTAAAATGCACTGGCGGGAGAGAGAGAGCGACAGAGCGAAGATGAGAGGGGGGGGGGGGGGGTTTGCGAGGGTGTAAGAGTGCAAGGGAATGACAGCCTGGCCGAGGGCCCCTGACACCGGCTGTCACCTGGAGATCAATCAGCAGTCGGGACCCGAGCCAACCAACCAAAAACTGTTGCTTCACCTCCTCAATTCTCACCCTTTTCCCTCTGAAAACCCTCCCAATCTAGTCACCCCTGTCTTATCTACCCTTTATGTGCAACTCCTTTTTTATTCTCTTAGTTTCTCTTTCATCATTTTAGATGGTTTTTCATATCCTTTGGCTTTCAACGATTCCTCTTTCTCTTCTTTTTTGGTCTTTTCACATAACTGGACCATTCATACATGCACATATGCACACACACACACACCTACAAAAATACCCAAATGTGTGACTACTCAGTGTTCATAACAAT